CACAAAATACAATCTTGCTGATGTCAGCAAGAGACATTTAAAGAAAAGGTCACTCCTAGGTAGAGGAAGTACTGTATTTTACTTGTTCCTGCTGACGACCACCTAAGAGATCAACATTCTTTAAGACCTGGGCAGTTGATCAACACTTTTCCTGCTTTCTCTTCATCCATCTTTTCTCAACTAAAGATGTGGACGCATATTCAAAACTGCCAATTTTTAAAATATTTTCAATGTGGTTCTAGCAAGGCTTCTTGGAATGTGCTTTGTAACGTTTTACTGACTTTTACATCATGCGAGAGGAATCTCAATGCAACATGAGCACAATTCAATCATCTGATTTCAATTTTAAAGTATTTTATCAAAGCTCATGTGAACCTGGTAATACATAAAGGGTTGACGACCAGAATAAATTAAGAGTGTAAGAGTATCTGGAAATGGCAAGGACCTAAAATTTACGGCAACAGCCACTGCTTTGCTGTTGCTGTACTGTTTATGAAGAATATTTCTGTGTAACTATAGCAGGATCAAACTCAGAAATGTACTGTACACATTTTTAGAAGTGGGACCTCCTTACATTCTGAAAAACATCCCCTTTTGTCAGAGTATCTGTTTCCACTCATAATTGTATCCTGTGTTCAAGTCAGCTTTCTTTAAATGGGCTAATGTGCAAGTTTGACTGCCTATGTCCAAAACTACTATGGAAGAACAGAATGGGCTATCACCTTTTAAGCGTAAACCGAACACACACAGAGAGAAGATTTATCAGTTTGCTAGAGAATAGGTGTATAGGAAGAAAACATTTCACATTTTTGTTTTTTAATATCTCTATAAAATATGTTTAATATATGAAAATAGTACATATAATACACGCATCATATCTAATCAAAGATAAAAGAGAAATAATGGTTATACCATCTTCACAACCTTCAGTTCCAAAAGGATAAAATCGAAATAAGATAATTATGGAAATAATTATGGAAAAGGAAGGAAGGAAGATCAGAAAAAAGAAAGAAGGAAAGACAATGACAGAATAAAGGAAAGAAATAAAGAGAGAGGAAGGAAGGAAGGAAGGAAGGAAGGACAGAAAAAAGAAAGAAGGAAAGACAGAATAAAGGAAAGGAAGGAAGGAAGGAAGGAAGGAAGGAAGGAAGGAAGGAAGGAAGGAAGGTCAGAAAAAAGAAAGAAGGAAAGACAGAATAAAGGAAAGAAAGAGAGAAGAAGGAAGGAAGGTCAGAAAAAAGAAAGAAGGAAAGACAGAATGACAGAATGAAGGAAAGAAATAAAGAGGGAGGAAGGAAGGAAAGCTCAGTCTCATTTTTTCAGTGGATCTCTTCCACTTTGTGATCATACTTAGCCCCCAGAGCTCTGAATAGGAATGCCCACAAACCACAGGTTTGGTGGAAGGACCAATCCATCCAGTGTTCCCTGGTTGGGTGCCCACTCAGAAGCAGAGTCCCAGCTTCTCTGCCCCGCCTTCTCCAGATGAAGCCTTTGAGTTGGTGTCTGCCGGAGAAAGCAGGGGCACCATATCACCCCGTGCCTGTCCAGTCGTCAGCTGAACCAGTTCCTGCCCATCTCTACTTGGAATTGTTACTTCCTAAAAGGAACGTGTTCTGCTCCTGGCTGTTTTGGACAGGGAGAAGATGGTTGCGGTTCCTGTTACCCTGACTGCAAGTGTAACTTGTTCCAGTCCTCTTTTACCAACATGTTATTGCTAGTTATGCACTTGCTAGAAAATACAGGGAAATATTTGCTACTCTCAAGCTTCCCTTGGACTCTCATTCCCCCCAGATTTCTTGAATGACGGCCCTTCTCTGATCCAATGTAGATGGGACTGGATTTGTAGTCTAAAACATGCAGGAAGTTCAAGGGCTGAAAAACGTTCAGTCAGTCTCTATCTCTCGCCCGTAAGCTTGTGCACACGAGCCTACATGCTCTCCATCCTCCTAAGTCATTTAAAACAATGTTTTAGCAAGGATGCGAATATGCTTTTTCTCCCCATGTAATGCTGACAGCAACCCGTGCAAAATAATAATAGCCTCCTCAGAGCAACACTGAAAAGACCTTTCAGTGACTCCAGTCTTGCACTCATGGCCGACACAACATTCAAAATCCACAGGCAGATAAGAATTCTTTTATTAAGACCAGTGTATCCCAACCGGGGGTCCCCAGATGGACTAAAATTCCCAGAAACCCTGGCCAGCCCAGCTAGCAGTGAAGGCTTCTGGGAGTTTTAGTCCAAGAACATCTGGGGACGCCAGGCTGAGATGTATCCTTCCAGGGACTACGCTTTGCATTCGGAAGAACGTAGCATCAAATGAAAGAATAAACATTGAGGAACAGGGGGAAAAAGCATGGAAATCTCCGATTTGGGCAGAATCTTCTGAGCCACTGAAAACCCAGGAGGAAAACCGCGGGCTTTGTGAGTCGTTGACGAACAGGCCAGGATCACATGAGAGCTAGCCAAGCCAAGTGGGCAGGGGGCAAGCGCTGCCTCCTCTTGGCAAGGCAGCCGTCCTCGGTGGGGGTGACTTCTGAGTAAGCTGGCACATGACTGAACTGTTAAGCTCTAATTAACACCAGCTAACAACATTACGAGGCACCGCGTTTAAAAAGCACTTAGCAAAGCCAGACCACGCCGTGCAGTTAAAAAAAAAAAAGGAAAAAGGAGGCTGAGATGTTTTTCTCTGTTTCTCCTTTCTCTTCTCTCATGGGGGAAAGGAGTCTGTCTTTGAGGAGGAGGAGAGATGGGGGGGGGAGATTTTAAACCTCCTTCCCTGTAGCCATGCGATGGCTGCCGATTTAGGATCCTGTCCGCTTACTCCCGTGCAAAGCAGAAAGCGCAGAAGACTTCGACCGGGGCCAAGCCTGTTAGCCTGTTGCTCCTGCTGGAGCGTTGGCTTGCTTGCATTAAATGATGAAAGTAGTGGGGAAAGCATATATAAATTAAAGGCTTCATTATCAAACCACCCTTCTCTTCATCCATTGCTTTCCTTCAAAATAATGTCTTATCATATATCTTCCCCTCCTGGTCTGCAGTTTCTCTAACATTTGCAAATGAGGAGCGTTTTCCTGACATCGAAAGCTCACCAAACTAGACCCCGCACACCTCCCTTGTTACTCAGCACATCACATCAGAACGAGAAGGTGGCTAAGAAAACACACCTGTATTGTAAACCAGTGGTTCTTAACCTTTGTTACTCGGATGCTTTTGAACTGCAACTCCCAGAAACCCCAGTCAGGACAGCTGGTGGTGAAGGCTTCTGGGAGTTGCAGTCCAAAACTCCTGAGTAACCCAAGGTTAAGAACCAGTGTTGTAAACTTTGGTACAGAAATATTCCCCTCACTGAGGGGAAAATCATACACACAGGAATTATCATACAGGAAGAAACAAATGGCCGCAAATGCTCAGTCGATTACTGTAGTCATGTTGCCAGGGGAGCATAGTTTGTAATTTAGTAATCTTTAATTTACAAATGCTCAGCAAATTTCTCAATAACAGGATCATTAGGAAGTCACTAATGCATAGGGATGCCACAGTCTGATGGCACACATTCATACTTGTATTAAGTGGGAGGAGAATGTGAAATTTAATTGAATCATAGAACATTTGAGTTGGAAAGGGCCTCTACAGCCATCGAGTCCAACCCCCTGCTTAGTGTAGGAATCCAAAACAAAGCAGATCTGACAGAGGGTGGTCCAGTTTTCTCTCGAAGGCCTCCAGTGTTGGAGCACTCACTACTTCCCAAGGTTTGCGGTTCCGTTGTCGCACTTCTCTAACAAGAAGTTTTTCCTGATCTTCAGCCTAAATCTGACTTCCTGTAGCTTGAGCCCATTATTACGTTTCCTGATCGAGAACAGTTCCTGCCCCTCCTCTGTAGGACAGCTTTTCAAGTCTTTGAAAAGGGCTGTCCTCTCTCCCTCCAAGTCTTCTTTTCTCAAGGCTAAACATGCCCAGTTCTTTCAGTCTTTCCTCCTCCAAGGGCTTGGTTTCCAGTCCTCTGATCGTCCTTTGTCAGCATCCTTCTTGAAGTGTGGTGTCCAGAACTGGACACAGGACTTTACATGAGGCCTACCCAGTTCTGAATACAGGGGGACTAGTACCTCATGAGGTTTGGAGAATAATATACTTCTACGAATGCAACCTAAAATATCATTTGCCATTTCTGCAGCTGCGTCACACTGTTGGCTCATATTCAGATCCAACCATTCCAAGATCCTTCTCACTCATAGTATTACTGAGCCAAGTATCCCCCCCTCTTTTAACTGTGCATTTGGTTTTTTTTTCCCCCAGGTGTAGAACTTTGCATGTATCCCTGTTGAATTCCATTCTGTTGTTTTCAGCCCAGTGCTCCAGCCTATCCAGACCATTTCGAATGTTGTTTCTGTCTTCCAAGGTATTAGCAGTTCCTCCCAATTTTGTGTAACCTGAAGATTTGATTAGCATTTTCTGCAACCCCTGATCCAAGTCATTAGTAAAAATGTTGAAGAGCACTGGGCCCAGGAGTGAGCCTTGGGCTACCCCACTTGTTAACTCCTCCCAATTTCAGAAGGAACCCCTGATAGGCCCTCTGTAAGTAGGATTCTGTAACCTATGGTGTATCCACCTGTTCTACCCAGCTATCTAACGAGTTAGCTTGCTAATCAGACTAGCAAGGGGAATCCATTAAGCAGTTCCCTGCTCCAGCAGCCCCCCATCACACAACTCCATAGTCATCTAATTGCACATCCTCACCAGCAGCGTAAGACTGAGCATAGAAAGGAGAATCTTGACAGTGTTGGGTGATCACCCTTCCACTTGCGTAATGTGACATGGATGCCAGCCAGAAGAGTGACATGTAAGCAATGCCATTTTCAAGAAAATTGGTGCAGAGTTATGGGGAGAGATGGACTGAAATCACCTCCGATCATGATGAGTAAAGAAATCCTCGGTAGGTCAACATTATGGGCTCATGTCCACACATCCCTAACACGGCTTCTTTCCCATATACCTTTGGCAGGTACACCCCTAACTGAAGAAGAAACAGCAACTGCTGATATCGGAGATGGCACAGCGTCCGAATTTCCAGAAGATTCAACCCAGGTGAGTCTCCTTCTAAACCATGGCTGACCTACATCATTTTACCGTCTGAGGCAGAAGAATGATATTATATATTTTTAATTATCAATTCTTGTACATTCTTTTTTAGCAGTTACTTCGATTGTGAGAGGGAGGGTAAGGAAACTGGCTGTAGAGGAGTGACATTCTTTTTGCAGCAGATATTTAAAACTGAATTTGACTTAACCCCCCCCCCTTTTTAACATATAGCCCCAAAATAAAAAATGAGAAATCCTCCTATGTTTAGACTACATTTCCCAGAGTGCCTCATCTGACATGAGTCCTGACAATGTGAGATAATCTGGCAGCTGTAGTCCGAAACAACAACAACATTTGCTATTTTTGCCAAATAAAAATACGCAACAGAATGTGATATTCCCCCTTTCAGGAACTAACGACTACAGATAGTGTCTTGTCAACCCGGGGCGATGCTGAGAACTCCACGGACTCAAGTATTCCAGGGATTTCTGATGGTATGATGTGCATCTTACTCTGTTTTGCATGCTTGCTTAAATATCTACAGTCCTTTTTTAAAAAAACACCCTGATTTATGCATGTGGGGTATTATTTCCGGGTCCATGATTTCAAATGCCAGGAAATGGCCCAACAATTGCAAATAATTTGCCCAAGTTGCCAGCAGAGAACACGAGACTAAGCTTTAAAGGGCCAAAGCCAACCTGAACGTTGATGACACCAATGTCAGCAGTCAAGATGGTCTGTAGTTGTAGTATAATACAGTATGTATATGTGAACTGCCCCTTGATCTGACTACAGAAACCAAATCATGTGGCAACGGCTGTTCTAAATAAACCCCAGGCTTCTCTTCCAATTTCCAAACAAAAACTGTCGTAATCCATAATGGGCAGAGCTGTGGAAATGTTGTGACAGGAAAATCAAAAAGTTCAGGAAGTACTGCTTGAATTCAGGAAGCTGGCATCACATATCCTTCAGACCTGAAGGGCCAGGGTTGGACTCCAATAGCCGAAGTGAATGGCAGGGTCTTCCCTCAGTCGCAGCTCTGAGGGAAATACTCAAAGCATTGACATCAAATCCACTTTTTGGCTACCCTCCCATCCTTCCCAGATTAAAATCAAGGAAAGGTGTGTTTTTTTTTTTACCAAAACATCTGTAATACTTGAAGGAACACAAAGAATGGCAGGACTGTAATGTGGGAAGCACCTCTTAAAATGGAGGGAACCCAATGGACGTTTAGCCCCCCCCCCCACTGAGAACTGGGTTATTTGGACGTCATTTAAGAGGCTACACTCTGGAAGTGGAAGAGCAAAATGGGAACCTAAGAATATGGCACAGGTTCTTTGCAAGCGCACAGGTAGATTTACACCTATATCAGGGCACGCCATGCCCTCCCACAGGTACCATGGAGAAGGCAGGCAGTCTTTCACGTAAACAGATCCCGAGGTTTTTAAGGGATTTCAAGATCGCACCAGTAACTTCTAATTAAGAGGCCGTCACCAGGGGCATAGACTGATAGTGAGAGGAAGAGATCGGTCACTGGACAAACGCGTTTTTTTTATTTACCAGCCAGCCGCAAACTGGCAGTTGCATAATTCATATGCTGATACATCATATTTTAGTTAGTTACATGCCGTCAAGTTGTAACTGACTTCTACCCCTAATGTGACCCTAATACGGGCTTTCAAGATGAGCTCTTTAAGGGGTGGCATTACTTGTTCCACCAGCCCCTAGTGAGTTTCTGTGGCTGAGCCGGGATTTGAACCGGGGCCTCCAGAGTCCTGATCTGTCATTTCATCCACCGTTCCACATTGGACACCTGCAGTATCATATTAGGAACCCAAATGAACTATTTAACCTCTCCCGGATTGCTCTGTCACCTCCTTGGCATTTTCCTGGTTCCAAACCAGCCCGTGGCAACTGAAGCCAAAGGCAGCTGAGGTCATCAGACAGGAGGCATGTCTCAATTTAAACTAGCGAGCGGCGGCAGGTGATTAAGTTGCTTTCTTAGCTAGCGGTAATCCATCTTTGAACATTCGGGCATGCTAATGAGCCTCAAGCCACTCATGAAACATGAACCGGGTGGCATCACACCCTATTTCCTCTGGAGACTGAAGTCATTTTCGTGTTCGCCGGACGGCAGCCACAGAGCAGCTCCTCTGGAGGAGTCACGGCGGACTATTTAGCACCGTGACACAACACGACAAGCGACCTCAAGCCTCCCTCAGCAATAGGCGTGAGGAACGCGCTCTTCCGTGGGCAGCTGTGCCACGAAAAAGACTCTGCGGTGGCTTTTTCCTCTAGTGATGGAGCTGAAAAAAAAAAAACTGAAACCACCACAGACTGAATCCAGACTTGAAACATGTGGCCTCATCGAATAGTCGCAATTAGAGGACACTGATTAATGTGCACCAGTGGCTCATTGATTGATTCAATAGGTCTCCCTCTGAGAACTGGACTTAGATGACATCTGCCGCTTTTTCTTGGCTTTCTAGACACCGGCCCTTCTTCAAAAATTCATTTTTTTCCTTTTGAAACAATAAAATAATTTTTTAAAACCCCTTTTCTGGCCTGAAATCACCCACGTTGACAAAGGTCTGGTGGTCCCTATTATCTTTCAAAACGAATTGAATTATTTCATAGCATGCAGATCCTTAAAATTTGGCTCAAAAATCTGCATTTTTAAAGTCAGAGTTGAATAATTTATTTTGTTTTGTTTTGTTTGTCCCGTTTGTGTCTTTCTCGCCAAAAGGGGACTCAACGTGGCTTACAGTGTTAAAAATAGAATTTAAAAGCACAATAAATTATACATTTTTTAAAAAAAACACCCTATAGCAGTAATTAATATACACTGAATGATTAAAATCATTTAAAACTTTTTTTAAAAAACAAACTCAACTACAAACTGGCATTTAGGGACTCAGTTATGATTGTTTTTAGCCTGCCTTGAAGAAGTGGGTCTTCAGTTGTTAATGGAAGGATAAAACGGAGGGGGCCAAGCGAACCTCCTAACCTGGGAGCAGCCGCAATCATGGAATCGTAGGATATTGGAGTTGGAAGGCGCCTATAAGGCCACTGAGTCCAACCCCCAAGGCAGGAACCCAAATCAAAGCAGATCTGCCAAGATGGTTGTCCCATGTCCTCTTCAAGGCCTCCAGCGTTGGACCGCTTCACCACCTCCCCCTGAGGTCATGAGGATTCCAGTGTCATACTGCTCTAACAGTTAAGAAGTTTTTTCTGCCAAAATCTGTCTTCCTGTAGCTGGAGCCCATTATTACATGTTTGAATATTCATACCCCATTTCTAAATCAGACACCCCACCCCACATTCATGCATCCCATAGCTCATGATATGGCCACTGAGCACTTTATACTCAAAATCAAAATCTTCCTGAAACAAGACTTTTTGATTGCATAAGACGGGAAGCCGACATACTATTCATGTTTTTCCCTTCAATCTCTAGGTCTGGTAATAAACGTGATCTAGAACAGAATGTGCCTAACTACTTATGTAAGTGCTACAGGAAGGCAGTTTTGCACATTCCTTGTAAACACATTCCTCCTGCATTCTTCAAGAGTGACTCTACCTTGATAAAGTACTGCATTGCATCGGTTACAAAATTCGCAAGAATTATTTTCTTGGACTCTCCTTGGACTTCCCGTTTGAAACATCGCACCGAAATAAATTTAATAGTTTAACAGCCGGCGGCATGACAACTTGAAAACAGTTTTCTTTTTTGCTTTTGACAAACCCAGTTTACATGGGTAACTCGCTGAAATTACATGGGGGCGTAAGTCTGCTTTCATTCCTGAACAGTACCAACTACTTCATTTCTGTAAGGAGGTTGTTTATCATGTTGGCTTTCTCTTGCCTTTGGTCTTCCTTTAGAACTCAGGCCTTTCTGTTTTCGAAATGTGAGCCAGAATCGCACTGCCCTGCTCCCTTTTACACAAAAGTCCACTTCATACGTGATTCCGTTTTTTCAAAAACTTGCACAAGGAGGGAATCCAGTAGTATCTGCCACACCCATTTCAGCAGGATGATACGTATCCCAAGTGGTGCAACAGGCAGGCCAGAAATCTCAGAATGCTATGGCTGACGTATTATGCTGTTTTTACTGAATGCTTTGAATGTGATCTGAATCAAAGAAACAAAATCTCCCATTGATACTGGTTCAGTTCAACTGACACCGGTTTTCAAGCATGGAAAGGCCCACTTTTTGCCTGCCTTACACATATCAAGAAGCCGGTCAGAAAAAAAAGAGGTGGCAATCCTAGCTCACAGAATCATGGCAACTTAGAATGGTGGATTTAAAGGGGCTTATAAGGCCATCAATTCCAACCCCTCTGCTCAAGGTAGGAATACAATCAAAGCACATCCGACAGGTAATTATCTAAGTTTTTCTTCAATGCCTCCAGTGTTGGAGGGCTCACCAGCTCCCAAGGTTACTGGTTCCACCGTCGTACTGCTCTAACAGCTGGGAAGTTTTTCCTGATATTCAACCAAAATATGGCTTCCTGTAACTTTAGTCCATTATTGCGCATCCTGCACTCTGGGATGATCGAGAAGAGACCTTGTCCCTCCTCTGTAGGACAGCCTTTCAAGTATTTGAAAAGGACTATCCTCTCTCCTCTCAGTCTTCTTTCCTCAAGGCTAAACGGGCCCAGTTCTTTCAGTCTTTCCTCCTCCAAGGGCTTGGTTTCCAGCCCCCCGATCATCCTTGTTGCCCTCCTCTGAACTTGTTCCAATTTGTCAACATCTGTCCTAAAATTCAGTGTCCAGAACTGGACACAATACTCAAGATAAAGCTTAACTAGGGCTGAATAGAGGGGAACTATTTCAAAGGATTTGTAGACTGATCTAATACAGCCTAAAACAGCATTTGGCTTTTTTGCAGCCACATCACACTGCTGGCTCATATTCAGCTTGTGATCTAGGATGATTCCAAGCTCCTTCTTGCTCGTAGTATTACCGAGTTAAGTATCGCCCATCCGATAACTGCATTAGGTTTCTTTCTCCTATGCATACACGCCTTTGTACTCGTCCCTGTTAAATTTAATTCTGTTGTTTTCAGCCTGGTGTTCGAGCCCATCAAGACCTTTTTAAGTTTTGTTTCTGTCTACCAGAGTATTACCTATTCCATACAATGCTGTGCCGTCCACAAATCTGATTAGCATTGCCTGCCCTCCCTCATCCAGATCATTAGTAAAAATGCTGAAGAGCACCGGGCCCAGGACTGAGCCTTGGGGTCCCCCACTTGTGACCCTTTGTTTCTAAAAGAGAAAGCACAGACCTTTCTTTCCTCCTCCTCTTGAATTTCCCAGGCAGAAGAGACCACGGCGTTGTGTCGACACCCACTTCCAACTTTTTCCCATTGGAGTTTTGGCCGCATCCTGGTGCCACTGCCTTGGTTCTTTTCTGGGCTCCTCTACTGAGGTCAGGGACAAAGAGACACAGTCACAGGCACTCACATCTTCAAAAACATATGTCATTCATTCATTCATTCATTCATTCATTCATTCAGTCATTCATTCATTGATAGAAAATGCTAGTGTGGCTGTAGTGAGTCATCTCATTGCCCTTTCTTATGAACAGGGATTCAGTCCCTGGGTGAGCTTACACATTAGCAACAAAATACCCCAGACATATAGCCACACACAGCAGAACAAAAGGGATTTCTTTAAAAAACACAGTTCTACTCCTTTTTAAAAAAATCCCCTTGCAGTACTGTAGCTGCCAATGAACAATAGGAACAATTCCAGGTGTTCTTATTAGGCTATACAGCTCTAAATGGCTTAGGAGCAGACAGTTAGAGGTTCCCTTGAACCCATCCTAGCTTATCCGATGTTAAGATCAGCTGGGAAAGTTTTGCTTGTGTCACCCAAGAGCAGCATAGCCCGTAGGACGACGTCTTTCCCAGAGGTGGCTCCCTACTTATGGGATTCCTACCTGTCCAAGATCCATTGGCCTCTTCATTTTTTTCCTAACAACAGCGATGATGATGATGATTACATGCCATTAGGTCAATGCTGGCCACCCTCTCCGGTGACTTCCAGGCAGAGAGTCCTCAGAAACGTGTTACCATTTCCTTCTCCTGGGGGTGCTCTCGGACACGATAGGTGGCCCAGCACCATGTAGGCGGGTGAGCACCATCCAGAATTGAACCCTCGACGTTACCTGTTTGCACAAGACTTCCAGAATAAACACATACTCCTCTTTCTTTGCTGCTTTTAGCAGATACGAGTTTTTTGTATTTGTAATCTGGGGAGAGTGGGGTTTCTTGTCCCATATTTATGAAGAATGCCTATTTCTTGTCTTGCAAAATGGTGTGCTGCCTTGAATTAATAATAAAATGGGTCCTTCGCACTGCTGACCCAAGCCATGCTTCCTTAAGGCGCCTGGGAATAAGATGTACAACATTTGCTTCTGCATAAGGTGTTCTAATTTTTACTCCACGAGAAAACAGTCAATTGGCCACCTGCTTTCCCCTCCAGATGGTCTGGAAACAGCTACGCTGGCGGGGATTATCATTGGCATCATCGTGGCGATTGGCGTGGCTACCGGGATCATCCTTGCAATTGTGAAGAAGGTGTCGGGCAGGTACTCGTAAGTACTTCATTAGGTAGGTTTGGGGAGTTGCCGTATGATGACATGAATAGGATCTCAGTTCCCTATCTTCTTTGCAACCTGAAGCTTTTATCAATATTTGATACGGAGCAATGTAATCGGTCAATTAAAGAATTGATTTAATAAGAGCAGCAAGATAAATTAGAGCTAGGAAATGGAAAATAAACTATATTTTTCAATTAAATGAATGGTATAAAGTGGTTTGGAATATAGTTATTGATGATATATTTACATGCAATATTGAAGTAAAGAGGGGACTGTTAAATAAGAAGCGTTTCATAAATATTTGGGGTAAATGATTTATTATGTATTAATAAAGGGGAAAGGATGTGGACCTTCCAAAGAGAACAGGGGAGGGACTGGGGCTCCCTAATGGGAGGGCAAAGTGTTATAGGTGAAAACAAAGCTAAAAAAAGTTTACAAAAGTAAAACACACACACATACACACAAATGGGATGGCAACTTAACAACTAATTTATATATTTTTCAATGTGATCTTCTGTGGACAAGTCCACTTCATCAGACCTAAAACAAGTGGCTATACCTCCAAATGGTTCTGGACCATTTTTATAGAGGTGCTTTTGAGGTTTTTTTATAATCTCTCCCCCCCCCTTGGATTTGTACGTTTATGTTTTATGTTTGCTAATAAATTAAAAAACAAAGCAACAAAAAAACCTCAAGGGACTCCTGTGCTCAAAGCAAGCTAATTTGCCAGTTCCGGCAGGCGGGCGAGCGAAGTCCTGCTACGACAACCCATACACCGTCAGCCCTTAAGGACCTTCCTCTGCTAATCTTGGGCTATATATAACATTTATTTCCGTCCCAGGCAAACGATGTGTAAAGTAACCTGGTTGAGCCAACTGAGCTGAAAAATATTACATGACTCACGCCCCAACCCCTTTTCTTGACAGGCCCTAAGGGGGAAACTCACATCAGGCAAAATCCACATAAACATACTTTGCCACCTCCTGTTTGAGCAACAATCCCCAGGTACTAATCGTAGAAGAAAGCCACGGAAGTAGGATTTGCCACCGATCGGACGGACGGAGGCCTCCCCGGCCCATGTTGAAGCCTTCTCGGCTTCGCACCCTTCCCACGGGATTCCTTCGGCGTTGTTGTTTTTTTTCTAAAGCAACGGTGCAGTTAAGCATGGACTCTGGCTAAGATGTCTTGGGCCAGGCTTAGAAGAACGAACGCGAGTTCTCCTAAAAGCATCAGAAAGATCTCGTCACATCATCGCGTGAGATGAACCGTTGGGGGAAAGGAGACAGCCGACATTGAATAACTAACTGCACTACTGTATTAAAAGGTTGGGTATGTTCTTAAGTCATAAAGATATGTGCTTATTAGAGAAGGGGGACTAAAACAGGGTGTATTATATGATTAACTGGAAATGCTGAATTTAGAAACTAAAATTCCATTGTCAGAATAAAGAATGTCCAAAGCATGCTTGGAATACCCTGATTTTGAGATTGTGTGTGTGTGTGTGTGTGTGTTTAAAAATTCAGACAGTTTCTGAGGTCAGGTTGTCAATACAAGAGGAGAGGGTAGAAAAGTTACATATAACAAATCTAGGATGAATGGCCATGAAAGACCGCTGTAAAAAAAACCATTATCACAGCATTCCAAAAAAGGATACCAGTATCATTGGTGCACTCCTTTTTTCAGATATTTCTTTCTGAGCCTGTACCATAGATAAAAGGTCTTTTTGAGGGCTCCTTCCTCCATTATTATATCAGAGCCCATGGCTGAAATCCAATAGTTAGTCCCAACTAGATCAACATAGGTGTTGACTCACCAAACCCCCATTGATTCAGTGGGCCAACTCCAGCTGCAACTTACTACTGGATTCAGGTCAACATCAAGATGATGTATCCTTGGGCAAGGGTCAACAGATGGTCTCACCAGAGGGCATAGTGACTACAGCCACGAAGACCCACATCATTGCAACTTACTTCTTCTTCCACTCCTGGAAATATTAGCCTTAAAGCTAAAGCTTTAGCATGGATGTTAATTTTGAAGATACGTTTATTTTAGAAACAATTGTGAATTCAATCAGTTTTCTTGGTCAAGTACAAGCAGCTTGGAACATGACTGAATCAACAGCCACGCAACCGAAGTCAAGAACAGAGATGTTCTCCGTAACCAATCAATTCAGCCCATCTCTCAGCCTCTCAGAGGGCTAGAAGCAAATCTTGAGTTACAAGACATGTTCCGGAGGCGTTGGCTGTGTTTCAGGAAAAACAATGCAGATCCTACACAGTTCTATTCTGCTACATTCATGCGCTTGAACCTTCACTGAAAAATGATGCCCAAGAGTCCCCTTCTGTCCTAAAATAATCCCTGAAATGGAAAACCAAAGTAATTATTTTCACACTGCATAGCATGGCTTAAGCTGCAACTAGATGGTCAAAAATCATGGGATTTGCTCCGATTATAAAATGGGTGAATTGTAGGAATTTTTTAACTGACAACACGGAGAATGTCTACTTTTTTCAAGCCGAAAAATGTGACTGGGCTTGGTTGTGATACATTGTTGTAAAGATCGGAGCACGTCTGTAGGTGGTGTTTTGGTGATTTAGGGACTTGAAGTGTGATGGCCAGGACCGGAAGAACACACATACACACACCACATTTCTTCCTCTCCACCCCCTGCCTACACATTTTAAAATGTTTTTTTTAAATTCTTATCTATATGAGATAAGCATTAAATCATCCTCTCACCTTATCACTGGGTCATTGCTATTATCATTCTCCATATTTAGTCCCCAATCAGTTTCCCATCCGATCAGCAGAGGCAGGACCAGAGGAAGGAAGGAAGGAAGGAAGGAAGGAAGGAAGGAAGGAAGGAAGGAAAGGGGACGG